ATTTATCTAATTACAGTCCCGATTATGAACAGAACATTGTTTTCCAGGCAGAAAGGGCAGCTGCAGCTTTCTTCTAGCTCATGTCTGACAGCAGCTGACAAAGAGCACTGAATCCAATGCAAGGGTCCGAGCAAGATCTGCAAGAGTCTGCAAGGGTCTGTTTGCATGCTCCGGCGATGATATCTGGCAGTACAGAAGAGCACGCAGGACTCTGTCACTGCTCCTGTTGCACTGTCACAGCAATGCAGGCTGTTTCTGTGTTTCTCCCAGGCCATCCTGCTGCTTCTGGATAACTTTCCCTTCCCTTCCAGCTGCTTGCAGGTTTCAGGCCATCTAACGTATCTCCTATCTACTGTGTCATCTGCTTGCATTTCCCACTCTGTCTTTCTGCTTGTATGTCCTACACATTTGGCAGGCAGAAGCAAAAGGGCCCTCAGCACCCTGCCACTGCTGTGCTCCTCTGCACTGCGACCTGGTTGGAACAGGTTGGCCATGTGTGCCCTTGTGACCAAGAAGGCCAGTGGTGCCCTGGGGTACATCAAAAAGTGTGTGGCCAACTGGCTGAGGGAGCTTCTACTCTGCCATGGTGAGGCCAAGTGTGTAGTGCTATGTCCTGTTCTGGGCTTCCCAGCTCAAGAAAGACAGGGAAGTTCTGGAGAGGGTGTAGTGGAGGGCCACAAAGAAGGTGAAGGGTTTGAAGCATCTCCCTTATGAGGGAAGGGTGAGAGATCTGAGGCTGTTCAGCCTGGAGAAGACAGAGAGAGCGTCTCATTAAAGCTTATAAATATCTAAATGTTAAGAATCAAATGGATGGGTTTAGACTCTTTTTGATGGTGTCCAGTGATAGGAGCAGAGGCAGTGAATACAAACTGGAACACAGTAAGTTCCATCTGAACATGAAAAAGAATGAGGGTGACAGAGCAGTGAAACAGGCTGCTCAGAGAGGCTGTGGACACTCCTTCTTTGGAAATCTCCACGACCCACCAAGAAGCTTTCCTGTGTCACCTGCTGTAGGAAACCTGCTCAGCAGGAAGTTGGACTTGATGATCCCCAGAGGTCCCTTCCAGCTCCTACCATTCTGTGATTTGTGACATATTACATTTTTTATTTCAAGCAAGGAGAGAAATCATTAGTTCCACTTTTTAAGTAATTAAGCCAATACGTAGTAGTGCTGACCATTTCTGGAAGCAGACACAATTCATGTTATGAAACTGTTAATTGAAAGAGTTAGTATCAAAATATCATGATTGAGGTAAGAACCATTCAGAGAACAAAGTGAATCAGCTTCCCGATTTGCCTGTTACTGTGATCTCAATCTTTGCATTGGATTTTTAACATGTAGACACTAAACTTGTTCTCTGGGAAGAGAATAATATTGTCTTTAATGAGCTGTAGAAATCTGCCCAGTAAGCTTTGTGCTTTAGATTTTTTAGGAAATTGCTCCCATGCTTTGTAGGATTATCCTCCTTGGCTTTAAGACCAGGAAAGTTCAGAGATAGTGATGATGACAGGAATGTCACTCATACAATTGTCTAGGCAATTTTTATTTTCCTCATCTCGTTTTTACTGGTTTTCGTTACTGTTGTTACTCTTTTATGCCTCTCAACTGGTATTGGATACAAACACCTGATAGAAGGGCAGATGGGCACAGGACAGCAATACCTGCGTTTTCACCACTCTGGTGGCCAGTGCTGCTAGACAGAGCTAAGGGGACAATTCAGATTCCCTTTGTAACCAGGACCACTGTCTAGTTTCAGCTGGAACAGAGTTGTTTTTCATAGTGTTCAGTATGATGCTATGTTTTGCCTTTAGGAAAAAAAACAATGTTTATAGCACACTGATGTTCTAGTTGTTGCTGAGCAGTGCTGAATGGAGCCAAGGACGTTTCAGTTTCTCAGCTTCTTGTGCTGTCTTACCAGTGAAGGGCTGGGGGCCATAAGGAGCTGAGAGGGAATGGAACCAGGACAACTGATCTGAACTAGGCAATGGGTATTTCATACCATATGACAATGTAAAGAAACTATAAAACTATGGGGAGTTGGCAGTGGGTAGCTGCTGCTCTGGGACTGGCTGGGCACCATTTGGCAGATAATAAGCAATTGAGCTGTGCATTACTTGTTTTGGTGTATATATATATATAATTATCATTACTTTTATTTCTTTCTTCCTTTTCTGCCTTAGCAAATAGTTGTTATCTCAACCTACAAGTTATACTTTTTTTCCAATTCTCTTCCCCATCCCACTGGAAGGTGGGGGTGAGTGAAGGGCTGTGTGGTGCTCAGCTGCTGCCAGCTTAGGCCGCAACAACCACACAGACTAGATTCGACAGAATGAATCTGCTTCTTTGGAAATACCTCAAATCCACGTTTAATTTGTATTTTCTTTTGGAAAAGAAGCAGTGCTGTAGTTGCTGTGTCAATTCCCACTAACTTGAGTGAAGAAGGACTTGAGTTGCCTTAAAGGTTATTTGGAGAAAATATCTGTTTACAATTTGCTGCCTGAAGCTCTATTACAGCAAACAGCAGTAGACTCAGGATGAAAGAGAGTTATTTTGAAATGCACCTTCTTAGATGCATACAAATATGATTTATATATCCTTGAGAAATTATATGTCAAGGATATCAAGGAAATATCAAAGATATATCTCAAATATCCTTGAGGTCCCTTCCAACCCTGGCCATTCTGTGATTCTGTGATTCTGTGAAATAATTGAAATCTACAGAAACACTAGAATGATGATAACAGTTAAAGCGATTGTGGTGGGAATGGCTTGGATAATTCTAGCTCACCTTTCTTAAATATTTTATTGACTATACTCTATATATTATATACTACAAATAGCAGTCAGGTAAAACAGAACAGCTGGTTCATAATCTCATTGCACTTAGCTCTGTACCGAGCAAGAAAATTCATTCTGCTGTATTTATCAAGTTGATGATACCTTGGTTGAAAAGTTGACATGAGTGCTTACTCTGAAGACTGATGATTAAAAATCAACTGTGCTTAATTAAATTTGCTTCCAGAGATGTCTTACTGCATCACTGAGGAGACTGTTCAATATTTGCATTCCTTAGACACTCTCTTTGCAGAGTTAGAAAGAAACAAATCCTCCTGTCTTCAGCATCTCCCCATAAATGAGAAGTAGCTGGAGAGATTGGGACAGTATGAACATAAGCTGTGCTAGGTTTAGGAGAGACAATGTCTCAGACAGTGTATGAAAATACAAGCTGCCTGTCCCACTAGGAAACCAACGGAATTATTCCTCCACTTCCTGTTAATACCTCAAACTGACAAGAGAAAGCACAATTGAACAGCTGAATGCAAGAAATCAATCGCATGACTTTCCAAGTTGGTTGTCCATTGAAATGTTAATTTTATGAATGCTTTTTGGAAATAATTGGCAACACTTCATTTTTACATGTCCCACTTGTGTTCCACTGCTTGCATCTAGTACTGGAAACAGCGGAAAAAGAACACTGAATTTAAAACTAGGCATTGCACAGAGCCGCACTTGGAAGAAAAGCTGAAAGAAGCTAAAAAGCATAATTTCTCTTTCTGTCAGCAGAATGAGGAGGGTATGGGCTGTAAGTTCCCTTCCAGGGAAGGGAACTAGTTGGGTTCACATAGGGGTTGGCATTGCAACTAGCCCTGTTGAATATCTTCACTGATGATCTGGATGAAGGGACTGAGTGTGCCTTCAGGAACTCTGCAGATGACACCCAGCTGGGAGGAACTGTCAGTCTGCTGGAGGATAACAAGGCCCTTCAGAAGGATCTGGACAGGCTGAATCAATGGGTTGAGGCCAATTGTATGAGCTTCAACAAGATGAAGTGCACAGTGCTGCACTTCGGTCACAATAACCCCACACAGTGCTACAGGCCTGGCAGCAGAGTGGCTGAAAGCTGTACAGTGGAAAAGAATCCGGGTGTCTTAGTTGACAGCCAGCTGAACACCAGCCAACACTGCGCCCAGGTGGCCAAGAAAGCCAACGGCATCCTGGCTGGTTTCAGGAACAGTGCGGCCAGCTGGAGCAGGGAGGTGGTCATCCTCCTATTCTCAGCACTGGTGAGGCTGCCTGCACCTTGAGTACTGTGTTCAGTTTTGGGCCCCTCTGTACAAGATAGTGAGGCCCTGGAGTGTGTCCAGAGAAGGGCAGCAAAACTGTGAGGAACTTGGAGCACAAGGCTTATGGGGAGCAACTGAAGGAGCTGGGATTGTTCAATCTGAAGAAGAGGAGGCTCCGGGGAGACCTTCTTGCTCTCTGCAACTACATGAAATGAAGTTGTAGCAAAGTGAGGGTCGGCCTCTTCTTCCACATAATAGCAATAGGGTGAGAGTGAATGGCTTCAAGTTGCACCACAGTAGCTTAAGGATGGATATCAGGAAAAAATTCTTAGAAAGACTGCTAAGATACTGGAATGGGCTGCCCCAGAGTGGAGGTGGAGCCCACAGAGGTGGTGGAGCCACTGTCCCTGGAGGTTTTCAACAAAAGGGTAAATGTCACACTGAGTGACATGGCTTAGTGGTATGGTAGAACTGGGTTGATGGTTGGACTAGATCTTAGTGGTTTTTCCAAATATAATTATTATATGATTCCCTTTGGGGCATTTTTGGGCAAGGCTGAAAGGACTCTAAAGGCAGTAAGGTTCCTGATTCATATTGGCTTCATCCAGAGCCATTTCTTAATAACAGTGCCTCCTGCATATGAGTGCTTTCTGGATGTTGATGGATTTTTGCTGTGCAACTGTGCAGGGTAGATCACTGCAGGAGGCCTGCTGCCCATCTCACATTATCTTCAGGTCTGGGTTTCTTTCAGTTTCTGCAGACCCTATGAGGGTTGTATAGTGCTGCAATGGGAAGCACTCTCAAAGTCTTTGCACTGTCAAAATCTTCATCCCTGCCCTATGAGAACCCCCAAGTCCACTCCATCCCCAGACTCTTTGCCGAGAAACTGTGCAGCAAGCCGCATGTGGCACAAACCCTTCAGAAACAAAACAAAATACATTTATTTATGCAGGTTTATTGCAAGGAGGTTTGTTCTTAGTTCAGTGCGTGGTCACAAGTGAAAAAGGAGTCAAAAGTCTTCAGAATTACCACAGGGCAGACTGGGAAAGGCATTTTTGCATGATGGCTACCTTAGCCCAGGATGTGACCGGAGCCAGCAGGTCTTTGGTTTTCATTACATTACATGTTTCAGAGCCAAAGCTTGCCTGCCCTCTCCTCTTCTCCTTTCCCTTTGCTTCCTTGACCCCCTGTGGTGATGTAAAGCAACTCCAGAGAACTCTTCAGGAGCTGGAGATGTGAAACCTGGGAGGTTGTAGTGGAAATGCTAAGTCATGGCTTGAAACAGTGATTGAGCACCTGGTAAGAAGGCAGGGCATATATGAAATCTGCTGAAATGATGGACTTCAACCTGGATCTCATCCATAAGTTTTGCCTGGGCCTGGTGTGTTCCTTTGACTAAGAACACAGGTATCCAAATCTAAACCAGGTTTAAGAGCTCCTTCCATGTCAATTAAGACAGGAACTTCTGTGGCAATGAACCACAAGTGAAGCCTAGGTACAGAAGCAGGCATAGGACTTGAAATCACAAGCCTTGCTTTTCTGCACTGGAAATGAAAAAAGCATAAGATGACCTGCTCAGACTTGCACATCTCCTTTCCACTTGTCATGCTTTCCTTATTCCTCTGGGAGACGTCAGATTCTTTTGCTGTTCTCCAGGACACCAGCTTCCCTGTGTTACTGAAACCAGCAGCAGTGAAGGTGGCATGGGCTGCTTGGCTGGCCTGGCAGTGCTGGGACTGGTGAATATATTCTGCTGAGCTGCCCTCAGCAAAACTGCACACCAATCTCATGGAAAATTACTTTGTCAGGCCTGGAATTCACATAATCCCTGCGGCATTACAAGAATTTAATTTCTACATGGTTCTGGGCTGTCCTTCCTGTGCCCTGCCATGGCACACTATCTAGTGCAATGGTTACTCAGGAGGTCCATGTAAGGCCAACTATAAACAGCATATCCTTTTGGAAACTCATTAATCTTCTTAAAGCTGCATGTTGGTTACTCTTAAAAAGAAAAAAAAGAGCTGAATGTAAAATGTTCATCAATTTGCCTTCTCTAAGGGCTTTGAGTGTTGCAGTAACTAAATTACAAAAGAAGTTTTAATACCAATAAGGTTAAAAAAGTCAAGCACACAAAAAGTTACAAAATGTAAATCCATTCTATGCACATTCACTTCTTTTGTGACTTAATGCCTGGCTTTTCTTAAGCCTTTGCCTCTCTGCTAAATTTATTATTCCATCTTTCCAGTCCTTAATTTCTTACATTCTTTGGAAGTCACTGCATTTTAATCTACACAGCATAAATAAGTAACATCTTACATTTAAATTACGGGCAGTCTTTATTATCTCTGAACCTAATGTACTGAATTCCAGATTTGCTAAAGAATTTAAGGTCTAGCGTTTTAGTTTCAGTAATGGGGAGTGATTTGCCCAAGTATCCAAAAAAGGTTAGAAATACTGGAATAAACACAAGACCATGAAGAGCCCCAAACAATATAACAAGAAACATGATCTTAAAAAACGTTCTGAAGATGTAGGTTTTTGCTGCAGCCAGGACAACTACTCCTAACACAGTAGATACTGCTCCTTGTAACACTGGGTAACCAAGCTGGTGCAGAGCTCCTATTGCCTTCTCATTGGCTGATGACTCTCCACTCGTAACAAAGGCATAGGAAATATGTGCAGAAAAGTCTACAGAAAATCCAATGCAAATGACCAGGTTAATCATGGATATGGAGTCGAGGCTGATGTCCCAAAATGTCATGAAACCAGCAACACCAACGATAACAGAAGCTATAGCAAAAGTCACCCACAAGCAACACAGTGGGCTGGGAATAAGCACAAGAGAGACCACGAGCATCGCCCCAGCAGCGATGACAACATTCTGAATGGTGTTCTGCACTATGACCAGGTACTGGTCGTAGTAGATGAATGCTGGATGGTACACCATGAGTGGAACTACGCACTGCTTGGCTCTGTCTCTTAACTGATTTAGCAGATTTTTCTCGTCAACGGCTGAGGTCACATTCACTGTCTGGATGAAGAAACGAGAAGCTGCTATTCCTTCTGCACTCTGGTTAATGTCCCACTCAAAACTGGGAAAGAACCGGAATAGTACAGCTAAGTTACTAATGAAAAGATCCTTAGTGCTTATATTTATTAAACCACTGCCAGCAATTTCTGTGTATACTCTCAGCCATGACAGCGAGAGGTTCCTGTCTACATAGTTAATGCTCTCTAAATTCTGTAGGCAAGCCTCAATGTCATTACGAACAGACTCGTCCCAGTAGTTTACGCTGTCAGTAACGACGACCATGACCCTGGGTCCGTATTCTGAGAAGTATTTGTCATCGTCGTCATAGTAGGCAATAACGTAAGAGTCATCACTAGCCAGATTTCGAAGATCTATGCCCTCCTTCATCTGGGTGCAGCCATAAACACTGCCACCCAAATACGCTCCGTACAGCAACACCACAAGAAGCTTGATCCATTTACCTGTCAAGAAAGGACCATAATACTTCTTGAAGAATATGCTCATGGGATGCTCGCTTTCTGTCCCACTGGTTTCTGGCTCCGGCAGCTCACTAGAACAGCTGCCTAAACAACACGCGTTGTACAAGCAGGATTTCTTCCCTACTTTCACTTGCACACACGTTAACCAGTGTCGGTTTCCGTTCACCCTTTTATGATTTAGCACGATAACTGCCCCAAAGAAGGTAATGACATAGACATAGCAGAAGACAAAGGCGGTGCCAGTATAGAGGCAGAACGACCTCACAGAAGGAAAAGAAGTCCAGGTGCCAATGAAGAAGGCCAAGACATCTGTGAGAGTGGTGATTGTCACAGAAAGCGCTGCTTCTCTGTAAGTCTCGGCCAGCCGAGATTTGGTGTCTGATTTGTCTGCCTTGCTTGAGCTTTGTTCCCAGGAAGAGATCAGGATAAACATGTCATCCACGCCAACTCCTGCAAGAGGAGAAAAAGTTAACTCTGCATGGCACAAGGCGGCTTCCACCGACACCCAGCAAAAGTACCAAAAAACAAAAGCAGCATTTAAAACTACACAGAATTTTCCAAAAGCAAGCGAGGCTACTTGCTTTAGTGCTGATGTGAGTTTAAGATACAAGAAAACACCAGCTTTTCTCCTTATACCAGAGCTCAACACACTTTTTCTACTTACCAAGAATAAGAAATGGAGCATTTGCTACAGTTGCCACAAATGGTATGCCACAGTACATCATCAATCCAAAGCTGCTTAATACAGCTAAACCGGAGGAAAGCACTCCACAACATGCAAGCCAGATGTTATTCCTTACACAGCTCAGCCTGAAAACGTTTTAAGGAACAGCTTACTTACACATCAAGTATTTGACCAAGACATCTGGCACGACAACTGAATTCTCTGCAGAGATACGGATCGTATCCCATCAGATTGTTCCCAAATGTCAGCATTAAGACAAAATGAATTTATAGGGCAGGTGCCACATATACTACTACTGCTGGCCAGTTACAGAGGGTAACCATGCACAAACCGCACAAAAGCAGACAGGATGCACGTGTACGTTGGAAAGAAGGAGCAAAGAAATGCTTTTTGCCAAAGGTTACGTTTCACGAGGGCGGCGTCTTCAGAACCGCTTCGCTCAGCAGCAGCCGAAGGAGCCCAAACCCCGCCGGAGCCGGAGCGGAAGCGCGGAGGCGGCTGCTCGCAGCCCCAGGTACTTTACCTCAGGCAAGAGACGACCGAAAAGGTGATCGTCAGGAAGTACGTGATGGAAAAGAGCGGGATCACGCTCTTGGTGTTTCCCTCAAACTCCTCTTGTCTGGACAACGAGGTGAAGTACGTCACCTGGAGCGAAAACAGCGCCAAGTCAGAGCACGCCTTTCCGCCCCGCGCGCCGCTCGGCCCCGCTCCGCCGCAGCCGCAGCCCCCCGCCCCGGCGCTACCTCGACGGCCGTGAGGTTCAGCTCCTGCAGCTTCTCCGGGAAGACGCGCAGGAACGTCTCCAGCCACGCCCGGCTCTCGCCCGCCGCGCCGCCGTCCTCCCGCAGGTAATACATCAGCTTCATGGCTCGCGCCCGCTCCACACGCCCGCTGCCGTCCGTCTGCACGCCGCCCAGCGCGGTGCCCAGGAACGCGTCGCCGCCGCCGCCGCCGCCGGGGAAGGGCAGCTGGGGCAGGGCGCTGCCGTTGGCCAGCAGCGGCAGCAGCGGGTTGGCGCTGGCGCAGGCGTCGCCGCTGCGGGCGCAGAGCCGCTCGTAGCCGAGGGCGCGCACCGCGCCGTCCAGCAGCAGCACTTCGTCCCGCGCCGGCCGGTCGAGCACCGAGGCGTTCCCCGCGGCCACGGCGATGAGCGCCGCGTAGGCGCCCTCCGTGGGCAGCCGCTCGGCGGAGAAGCGCTCCGAATCGTTGGTGGGGAAGTACCGCTGCACGAAGTCGCGCTCGGCCTTGGCGGGCCCGCCCGTTGGCGTGAACTGGCCCTCGATGTCGTTCGTCTGTAGGTCCGGCAGGAAGACGAAGCCGGCGCCCAGCCCGGCCGAGAGCAGCGGCGGCAGCAGCACGAAGGGCCAGGGGCAGGCGGCCACGACGCGCCCCAGCGCTTCGAAGAGCCGCGTCAGTGGCCGCTCCACGCAGTTGGTGTTGCTGCAGGAGCAGCGCTCGCGGGGGGACCGCGGCTGCCCCATGGCCGAGGCGGCGGCTCCTGCTCGCGGGCGCACCTCACGCCGAAGCTCGGCCTTTCGCCCCGCGGGAAGAGCACCTCCTTTTCCCGCCGCGTAGCGCAGGCACTGAGCGCTCCCCAGCCGCGCCGCTGCAGGCCGTCCCCCTGCCGGCCGGTGGCCGCGCCCTCCGCCCTTCCCGCGCCCTTCTCCGCACCCTTCGGCATGCAGGTGGGGCTGCTCGCTCTGCGCCCGGTGTCGGGTGTCGGACGGGTGCCCCGCTGCCGGGCACGGCCGTGGCTGAGGGCCGGCGGTCCGCCCGTACCCTCTGGCAGCGCGTGGCGATGGCGCACGAAGCGTAACGCTTCTCCCAGCCAAAAGCAGTGCGTGGCTTTCGGCGCTGTGAGGAGCCGAACAAACTCAGTGAGGGGGCTGAGGATGTAGGGTGTGCGCAGGGGAAGAGTAAGGAGAAAAGGACGTGGGAACTGCAGCAAATTGGGCTGGCGCGGTTGGCTCTGGAGAGCTTCTGTGTAGCTCATGGCTGCGAGTCCAGGTTGCTATGACTGAGTGCTGTAAAAAAGTTGGGGTTTGATTTTTACAGTTATAGGAGTAGACTGGAAATGTAACAGCTCTTGTGCACACCAGCAGGGCCCAAATATCTCTTGTCTGTAGATATAAAGGTTCATTTCTGTGTGTCTTTTTGGAACTGCTGGACAGAGGGGTGCTTCTTTATCCAGGCTACCTGTGGAAAGTGCTTTGCCAGATGTCTATGGACAAACATGCAGTCCTGAGCCTCTTGACAAACAACCCAGGCGCAATAAAGTGTGTGCACAAGAGCAGTTATAAACAGATACATTTTTTTCATCTTACTCTTGCTGCCATAAGGCAGTGTCAGGTATGCCCACACCATTTCTGAAGGAAATTTGACTAACATGTTCTTTACAGTGCCCACTATTGTACCCTACAGTGACAGGGAAGCTTCTTCCTTGCCTGACGCAGACTTTCCACCTGCCTGGATGGGGCGGATGTGCTCTGTTGGTTGCCTATTTGCTGTCTCTGTTTGCATGCATGACTGCCATCAAAGATAGGTCTTTGCCTCCTGTGCTTGGCAGCAACAATCTATCCACGACTTTAAATCATGTGCAGATAATGAGAGTGATGGGGATGTAGCCTGGTGATGAGCACAGCTATGTGGTGAGTGAATTCATGATTTCTTCCAGCGAAGCTTATCTGCTTAGATAATAACCATTCTGAAGAGAACCTTGAAGTTACTCTGGCTCCAGGACGTGGAATGAGCTGATATTTATTCAGATTCAAGATCTGCTCTTCCTTGCTTTTGTTACACACAGTGATTCTGCGGAATTGCCATTCACTGAGCAGTGTCAGAATGAGTCAGAGTGAGTGACTGCTGCTCTTCTGATCGATGGTGAGAGAGGTATTTGCTCTGATTATGTGCCTTAGGCCATCCAAGAGAGGACAGTGTCAATGCAGGCAGTCAAATCATATGAAAAACTGTGACAGTTTTTATGTGATATATCAGAGTTGTTGATACGTGTTAGGTATGTTGTGGGGCTTCTCAGGAATTTCTGTGTTTAGTTGAGTTTTTTATTTTTAGGAAGCATGAAGTTGCATGTAGATTTTTAACTGATTAAATCACAGGTATCCAACATTTTGGCTTGTCTGGGCTGCAATGTGTGAAAAGGAATTTGTCTTGGACCACATAAAAAATACAGAATGTATTTAATGTATTTACTTATAGAAGTAAAAAAACATCTTCATATATATATATATTTAAAAACATTAAAAAAAGGAAGAAAAACATAAAACTAGTAGGATATTTGACCTTGTTTTTATGAAACTAGTGCAACTAATGATATGATGGAAGTGGTTGCAATTCTTAGTGAGTTCTCAAGGTGCTCATCAGAGATTTTTTGATGAAATTTTGCTCTTCCTGTGCTTTGTCCTTGAAAATATTTGTTCACAAATGTACGTGCTGCCAATAAGTGAGGACATAGTTGAAGACTAATTCTAAACAAACTGATCTATGGTCGTATTAGGTATCAGAAGAATAAATACTTAGTAGGGGACTTCCCAGAGCCAGTCGGCCTTGAAGGGAAAATTAATCATGATATGCTGGGGACGTTGCTGACTTAGCAAGAAAACCCAAGCTCCATGAATCCTTATAATTGTATGAAAATTACCAACAAATCATTGTGAGGGGAACAGACTGGAAAATTATTTCCTCTTTGACTTTTGTATATAAATATTGTGTGGGTAGTTTTGTGTGGTGCTTGATCTAAGAGAAACCACTGAGCACCTTGACCTGCACAATGTTGAAATAAATAAGCAGTGTCTCTCCTGAGTTCGCGATGACTGACTCATTGCATGGCAATGACAAATCCACTTTTTTGGACAACAACGTGAGTAAGGTGTGACTGTGGGGATATTTTTCTCTGGTTAGAAGAGGTCTTATAGAAGTCTGGTAAAGAGATGTGATAAAATTTTTGAATTGAATATCTGATTGCAGCTCTGTATGCTCCATTTGAAAACTTTTAGTTAAAGTTTTTATGTCAATGGAAAACAGAGACACAAATACGCCAAGAATTGGTGATTTTTTCAGCAATCTATTGAAATCTATTCTCAAATCCCTTTATCAAAACAGAAAACAAGACTGCATACTTTCCACTGTTTGCAGGACCGTGTTTAGGCGAAGTATCAGAATTTGCCATTATTTGCCATAGGCTGGATATGCCCATGCTAGGTGATAAGCTGCTTTTATTGCATGTAGGTTGCCCAAAAGCAGTGCCTCCTATTTATTTCCATGAAAACTAAAACAGGTGCAAAGAACACAATAATACTGTTTGATAGAGCACCTTCTCAGCTGCAAACACTATTTTTTAACATAGTGACTGCCATTGGCTATGCATTTGACTAGTGATGCCATGCTCTTAAAAATCTGCACCAGTGGAGGTGACCCACTGTCACTGTCACCACTGCTGAAGCACACCACCTACGCCTCACTGTGCTTACATCCACTGGTCTCCATAAACATTCAGCAAGCATCAATGAATGTCAACAGGTGCAATTTTTTTCTGCATGGAGGAAAAAAGACAGGGATCTCTTGGAAAGAGTCCAGCGGAGGGCCACAAAGATGGTGAGGGGCCTGGAGCATCTCTCCTATGAGGAAAGGCTGAGTGAACTGGGTCTGTTCAGCCTTGAGAAAAGAAGACTGAGAGGGGACCTGATCCAGGTCTATAAATATCTACGGTGTGGGGGGCAGAATGGCGAGGACAGATTCTTTTCAGTGGTGAGTGGAGACAGGACAAGGGAAAATGGCTGGAAACTGCAGCATAGGAAGTTCTGCACAAATGTGCACAAGAACTTCTTTACAGTGAGGTGACGGAGCACTGGAACAGGCTGCCCAGGGAGGTGGTGGAGTCTCCTTCTCTGGAGATGTTCAAGACCTGCCTGGATGCCTACCTGTGCGACCTGCTGTAGGGAACCTGCTTTGGCAGGGGGGTTGGACTCGATGATCTCTGGAGGTCCCTTCCAACCCCTACAATTCTGTGATTCTGTGATTCTGTGAATTCAGTTCCACAACTTCGTTGCATACACGCTTCCATGCCAGACACCATTCTGTCAGACTACCCCTCTGCTGCCATCTGTCACATGGCAACAGCATGTTGCCAGGAATATTGGTGGGAAGGCTCCATCTCTGCTACCATACCACCAACATCTGCCTTTGATGTCCTGGGCCAACATTCCTATTTCTTTCAGAACAGCCCCTGCACATGAGAATGATGGTCAGAATTTCAGCTTGTTAATATATTGATTACCAGAAAGACAAGGCGAGTTGCTTGATTATATTATTTAAGCTTCAGGAATATTTCTTTTAGAGCTGACATAAATAACAATTCCTGTCTGCTCTGTGATTTCAGAATCATGAAGACTGCTCTGAATTACACTTTTAAAACCCTGCAGTGCCATAAGTACTATGTAATGTGAGGATTATGAAGAACCTCATCAACTTTTGTATCTACACTCCCTATATAAGATTTATAGATTTTTTTCCCCTCAATAAATATTGATTATTTCAAAACTTCTGTGAAAAGTGTAGGAAGTCAACCTCTTTAAATGATATCTTATCAGTGACAGGGATGTTATCTTTACAGACTGCTGTTTCATTGCATGTTTGTAAGCTTCCTTGTAAAATTCCCGGTAGGGTCAAATAAGGGTAACAAATGAGGTAACTCCAGTATTTATGATGTTATCTATATAACCTATAAATTTTATAGCTGTCCCCGTTTCATTTACAGGAAAATAACAGTATCAAAACTATGGATCAAAACTTTCTGCTAATCAATGTCTGTGCCATTTTTCCTGTAACAGGAGAACATTAACAAAGTTATCTCCTTCTTCTCACATCAGTCAAGGTTCCCGGCATATATATTTGTTTGTTATCAGTGTACTCTCTGAGCAACATATCCTGCTGTTGCTGTTGCACATTCGGAGTGCATGAAGTCTACATGTGTGAATCTGCATCTGTGTATTTTTAACTACCCATTGATTTAAACTTTTGGAGGAAAATATAATAAATGCAAAAATGTCAGTACTTGGATAACCTGCTTTTCTTACAGTATATTAGAAATCTGTAGAGAATTTGAGCTTGCTGAGTTCCTGTAAACTTGAAGTGCACTTGAAAGTGCTCCTGAGCTGAACCTCTCTTTGTTCACTGGAGGATTTATTTTCATGCTTAGGTAAAAGAAAATCTCTAGCTGACATCCAATTTCAAACATGAGATCTTCCTGGGTGTCTTCTGACCACAGCTCCTTTTTAGCCCCAGTGTATGTGCACAGTTTTATTCTCTTGGAAATACTGTGGGACAATTCAGCCTCCTGCCACAATTTCTCATATTAACTGGCTGTTTGCTACAGCGCATAGGTGATGTGCACAAGTGTGGGATTTTCAGCTCATTTCAGTACCTCAGTAGGTAGAATGATCACATCAAGTACAAAGCGGCTTCACAA